ATTCTCCCTACCACGAAATTTTAATATATAACAAGTTAAGACAATTTACAAAATTTTCTTTGCTCTTGTACTATATTGCAGAATTCTAAAGGACTTGCATAAAACTGTTTGTTCTGTATTTCCCATCAATTACAGGGGTCAGACCTTTACCCACCTGTTCTATACCAGACTTAACTAAGACACTATCTTGAGGAATACAACTAACCAGTCAATTCTAGAAACCTGGGGCTCAAAGTGATTTAAAAGAGGTTATTCTTCATCACTGCTAAGAAACTTTCAATAAACATTTGTCCTTTTTTTGGTCAATGATGTAAATCACTATTCAAAATCAATATTTAAGACTTTCCTTGTTAAACAAGATAAATCTCCAGTAGTTGTTTTGCTTTTTACAGAATTCAGCAGTCTCTGAATATCAGCTGTCAGATAAAAATAATGCATGTGTACTGCTCTACATTTTATGAAAAGTAGAATATGCTAAACCAAGCTTAACAGTCTACATGCAGAAAAAAGGAGGAGGGGGATTAAAAGTCAAAAAAGTTTTCACTCATGAAAACAAAATACAAAAACAGATTGATCAAGAGAGGGTTCAAACCCCTGCAAATTTCTCTACTTCCATGTGATGATACAAATACCACTAAGCTCTGCCATTGCTCTATTGTAATTATTTTTTATATAAATTTCACATCACAAAAATAAACACAAACACCTCCCAGGAAAGTTTTAGTGGTAGGTTTTCAAAGATTCTAGAAAGAAAATGCATTCTGAAGAGCTCAGAAATCTAGTGAATAAGCTTTAGAACAGAAACTTTTATCAGAGGATGAAGGAAATGACCTGGTTCTCCCATACTGACACATGTGGCAATCACAAGAAACAAGAGAAAGAAAAGAGGGATAGAAGGATGTTGCCCTGTGAACATGAAAACAAGTAGACTGAGCACAGCACGACAGCTTGGAAGGGTTGAAATAGATAACCTTAGCCAGAGAAGCAAGAAAGATATAGTTATAAGCACTTTCCTGCTCATGCTGATACTTGGGCAGCTTCTGCAGCTAGCACAGATTCTGAGGCAGCCAAGTGAATCCTTATTGCCAAGTATGATCCAAGTGCATTCTGTTGATTTATCTTTAATAACTTCATCCCACACAGCAAAACTTTCTATTCAAGTACCCAGCGCTGCGATGGGGTTGACTGTGCTGTCTGACAGATGACAATGAGTTCCATTTCCATTAGGTCATTCTCCAAATCTAGTTGCTTAAAATTGTCTTGCAGAGTCTGGGGCCCTCCCCAAAGCGACAGGATGTTTCTCCAGTCCATCCATCTGCAGAAATCACTTTAAGAACTGCTGTGCTGGAGTGTCTGTGTACCTTCCTGTAATTGGATTTAGCTGCACAGTGTTCTGAGCACACCTCAGGCGAGTGGAAAGAGGGCTTAAAGCTTGAGGGTCTCCCAAGCAACGTGTAACATATAAGCAAAGTCTTTTATCTTGTGTCTTCAGTGCAACTCAAGCCTAGGCTTAAGTGTGTGGATAAATGGAGCCTCAGACACTGTTTGCATCCTGGGAGCACATTTGGTACTGGCGGGCTCAGCAGAGTCTGGAAGGATTTGAACCTTTAGGGTATTTCACTGTCCTCACTTATTGGGAATGAAGAGAATGAATGAATTATTCTCAACTAAGCAATTACAGTCCAACATCACATGTTAATCCATTTCCTTCTTTTTTTTTTTCCCCACCCAATTCTGAGTCTTCACACAGGAAGTGATGTCTTAGAAAGCAAGATAGTGACAGTAAGTCAAATTCAAATATGCTTATTCTCCTAAACTTTGTTTCTTGCAGTCACCCAGAAAGGTAGGATTACACACACATGTGCTCGTGCCAAATGATTTAGCATCTCTTACTGAACTCTAGAAGTATAGATTAGCATTTCTCTGTGTCATTTTATGCTTGTCACAGCCAAAAACTGATCACATCACTCTATGCCTGGAAAGCACTGGGAAGACTACTAGCCAAATCTGAGCAGTCAAGTGTTGCTATCAAAGGTATCAGACTTCACAAATTGCAGAAAAATAGTTGTTCCCAGACCTCAGTACCGGTCCAGGAAAAGCTTCCTGGAAGACTCTATCCTTAATTATACCACTATAAATCTAGAAAACCCCCATTATTTGGCACAAAAACTGTAATAAGTTTTTATGGATTGACAATGTTTAACTTGTGACTACATTTAACTTTTCTACATATTGAAGTCAGTAGAAAAGGATATAGCGAAAAAGAATATTCTTATGACTCAGAACAGGCTCCAAAATGTTGCCACTCTGTTTAGGAAATTCTAAAACAAAAGTATCATAGTATCCAAGGATTGAAATAGCTATGTGTTGATAATAATAAAAAAAACATTTGCACATCCATCACATGTAGAAGAAAGAAAAATACAGAGGGTTTGTTTCCTCTCAAGTTCAAGGTTTCAGAGTTTTTCCACCGTGAGTTTGGACTTAACTATTTAAAACAATAACTGCTTTTAGACTTTTGTTTTTATCATATAGAATAATTATGAAAATTGCATCCAACATGTCCATGCTATTTTATAGGAGCTGACCACAAAGAAGGTTTATAAAGAATGCTGAATGCGAACTCCAATTCAGATGCCATCAAAACTTTACATACAAAAGAGAAAATGTAAATGTTGTTAATGTCAAAACCCCATCAGTGATTGCTGTGTAGGTGCCACAGAGGACTGCACTGCAGCACCAACAAATACCACATTATGATGTTAATTTCTGGCATCAGCAGCTCTTAGTAATGGTCACTGTTTCATTTTTCTCTTTGAACTGTCCTCTGGAATAAAGTCATTATTTATCCTCTAAGGTCAATAAAGTAATCAGTGGGAGGAAGCTTCTATTTTTCACATAATTTTTACTGGAAAGTACTTAACTTCCTTCCACTTTTCAGCAGCACATAGACACCAAAGGCCCATCTGTAAATAAGTGGTCATAATACCAAAATTCTCCTTTCCCCACGAACCTGAATTTCCAAGATGTTCTTTTAGCTTCCCAAACAGATCATGGGAACCAGTGTCAGTCAGCTAATCTAACTCTGTATTGGTACTTCAGTGATTTGTTGGCACTGCTGATGGATTGCCAGCAGTCTGAGAAGATTGTAAGGCACTGAGTTACTCTGCACATCCCTTGAGGCAGCAGCAATTTTTACTTTCATGTGTAGAACATCAGAACTGCGGTTTGGAGCCTCTCTTGACTTTTCTGCAAGAATGCAAATACTGCACAGAAAAAGATCAGAGTGTTGAACATCCACCATGACCTGACTAGCAGAGGGGAGAGAGAAGAAACACTTATCCAGATCCTGCAGTTGGTGGTACTTCACTGCATTCAAGACCCAGGGAGGCCCCTGAACCAACTTCAGCCACAGGTATTTCAGTTCAGTGAGAAAAGTATAGGTCTGTGTTAATTTGTTTTGGTAATGGCAATTCTACTTAGGACAATAATGGGGGAAAAAAATCCATCAATTTGTGTTGTTGCATATCATTACTGGATTAAAGTTTAAATCTTGTCTCTTTTAAAGGCTTTATAAAACCTTATTATTACTTTACTTAAGTAGTAAAGTGCCTCAAGCAACATTTGTTAGGTAGCTAAGAGGGGAGCAGTCCTGAGGGGAAGACCAGGGAGCTTTACTGATAAACAGCTTAGAAACACTCAAGAATCTTCTTGATTGCCAAAGGGACTCTTGAAAAATTCCATCTATAAACTTATAACACAACCTGTCTCGTCGTGTAGCAAGCAGCAGGTTTCACAGTTTTCTGCAGCCTGATGTAAACTTGTCTGTGCTGAGCTTAAGAAAAGGCTGTAAGTGTATTCTTCAACTGCTTTAGTACACGTTAAACCAGGTGATTTTTAAACAAACTTATTTTACTGAAACTGAGAGGCAGCAAGTAGAACCGCAAAAGATTTGAGATTCTTCCACAACCAGTGTTAAGACCTGGGACTAGATCACCCTCACAGATGTGGAAGAGGAGGGTGTCTATCTCTTGTGCCCATCAGCAGAGAAGTGAAGCACAGGGAGAGAGGAAAGCAGTCATGGACTATTTTTGCTGGTGGCAACTTCACAGCCTGTTCAGAAATCAATTGCAATTTTAATAACACATTTTTCTGAATGCTCTGGACTACCTTCAGCAGAACCTTTGTGATAGCACTTCCTTAAAAGCCTAAATGTGTTTTGTGTCACTAAAGGCATCCCCAGTCCTGATAAGGCTCTTTGAAATTCTTTGGTCTGCTGCAGGGCAAATCTTGGCAATTTCAAAGGCTTCTCCCACACACAGATTCAAAGCAAGCAAAGAAATCCCAATTGTCCATGCATATTTGACCAATCTGTCCTATTAAATACAGCAAGCAAAGTCTAAAGAGACAGGACAATGTTTCTCTGGCACCCTTCATAGTTCTACAGACAAATGAGTGCACTTAAAGCAAAGTGCACCTACCTGGTATCACCTATGTCTATCACTTAAAAAGCATGAATACACCTGCTAGTGTGTACTAAAACATCAGTAAATCATCAATAGATCTGAAATGAAAGCATTAACCTCTAAACAAATAGATCTGTTTTTACTGATAAAGGCCCATTCAGAAAATCCTGACTCTACAGAATGTTCCTATTTTTCATCTCAACTAAGATTTTTACCCAAGTCTCAGCCAGATGGATGCAATTTTGATCTTAAAAATGAAGATTTTTTTGATTCTTCTGTGAAAAAAATGGCTGAGAGCCTAACAAGTTTAATTAGGGTTTCTGATTCAATGCCTACTGAAGGCTTGGAGTAACTTCTGAACATTTAGGCTTTAAATTGCTAACATTTCACTGTGCAAGTACAACTAAACTTGATCAAGCGCGTCAAGGATAAAAAAGAATTTAAGAACTCCATTAGTTTTCAATCCAATAAATATTAGACTTATTAACTGAATTTTATTTTAATTGTTAGTTTAACATGCCTTAAAATACTTACTTTAGAATCACACAGCCTGTCCCTGTAGGAGGAGCTGTCCAAAACACCTGAATGCGTGTCCTCCTCCGAGGTGTGCTCTCAGTCACAGCAACAGGACAATTGCTCATGAACTGGGTTTCTTCTTCATCTATGATCTAGGGAAATTTCAAGAGAAGAATGTGAAAAGATAAGACATACATAGCCAGTGTGTCTCAGGCATGTTTTGTCAGTTCATGTTTTCTTCGAGTGGAATATTTATAACACTCTCTGCTTAGCTCAGCAGTACTTCAGTAAATTTATTTATAACATGCAGATTGCTCCCTGAATTGGAAAAAAAAAAAGGCTCACAAAATAAAGGCAGAACAATAATTCAGTTCTAGGTAAAGATAATCCAGACCTTTCTGAGCATGGCTGCAAATAACCTTTCATGTTGATAAATATTAATAAATTAAAAATAATAAAATATTCATAATTTCAAGATTTTCTTTTTTAATGCTGTGGCAATCAACTGGTTAGGACAGATTGAACATGCTAGAGAAGAAGGCGTTTCAGTTTATTTATTCTTCGCTTGCTTTTTAAACTAACATTTGTTTAAACAATACTATTCTTAAGGCATCAAAAGACTGTCCAGGTCAAAAGAGGTAATATGTGGATCATAATCATTTATAATTCAGAGTCCATTATTTAGCCCAAACTGCCGACACTTTTGCTTTTTTGACTGATTGATATTAAACAGAAAATTTTAAGTGGTGTAAGTCAGAAACCAGAGAGGCTGATTTGGAACTGGCATTCTAAGGATTTTACTCCAAGGTGTCATGACAAAATAGCTTTCTCACTACACATGTGCTTCATGAGTTGCACTTTAAGCTGTCTCAAAGAAGTTTCATCAGAAACTGCTAAGTTTTCTTTGGAAACAGGCAATGCTGTGGTATTGCAAAATGTCTCTTCGAGCTTGCTCAGTGGTCCCCTTTCATTCGATGAAGCTGCAGTTCACACTGCATTGGGTCAAGATTCAGGCAGTGAACTACCATTTCGGGAAAGAAGCTGTATTTATCAATTTATAACATGATTCAACTCTGAAGTTGCTTTTACAGAATTCTGGTTCTAATAACACACACTCACACACACTTTTACCGAATAACAATTTAAAAAAAATTAAAATCTTCTGGCAGTAAGCATAAGTTTAAACTAGCATTTGGACAAAAACCCACTACTTTACATTCTAAAAAAGTGACACTATCTATAGTTGCACCAGATTTGCTTTAGTGAGCAGGCATGCTCTTTATCTTACCCAATGATACTACCAGCAGTCCCAAACATCTTTAGCTAAGCCAACAACCATTTCTATATTTCCATGGCAGAATGAAGCAGCAGTGGCCCAGAGGAGTGCTGAGAAACTCTATTTAGCTGGTCAATAGGGCAGCGGTTAATGAGTTTTAAATTTTAAGCCATTAATATTCTTCAAGTTTTTTAATGCTTCGTAGAATCTGTGTAACCAAACACAACGTGCACATTTGCTGGAGTTTAATTAACATGAAGCTGTGGGAAGCATGGGATCTAGTGTAGGCTTAAATTGACTGCACAGTTTCTACTTCCACTGGATACAACGAAATGCATTTAACTTGAGCGTCAAGAAATCCCGAATCTACAATTCTCTCTCGGCCATCGACTGTATTTATTCTGTCTGCCTTATTCCTGCAACAGTAAAATAAAGAAATAAAACTGTCTACTTATCTCTCAGAAAGGTTGCCTGAACTATTTCAGGACTATATCAATTGACCTTTTATCCATATCTCAGAGTAATTCATTCTCATTCAAAACCCAATTTCGGCGGAATCTCTGAGAGAAGAATGGGTGATTTTATACCACCTCATACACAATAAAATACTACTGCACATTTTACAAAAGTGTGATAATTCCCATTGAAAAGGCTCTTAGAAGGTCATCAGACAATTCTTTAAAAAGACAGCTTTTCCAGAAAAGCAGAAATATTGCAAATTACTGTACAAGTTACACTAGCTCCATATTCTCTTATCAGATGAAAAATGCTGCTGTAGTGTAACTCGCATTCTCTCTAAAAAATTTTTAAAATATGTTCAATTCAGGTCAAGATTAGACAATTACAGGTATGTATAAATACGACTGCTCAGATACAAGCTATTCAACAATGACCAATGAAAATTTTCCAAACCTAGTTTAGCTCTGAATGTTTCTTGAGAAGCCCAACTGAAACGAACCCCTGCTCTCCTGCGTACAGAGTTGCTGCCTTCAGTCAGTGAGAACTTAGCTACTTTTATATCACTAAAGGTCATTCCTCCAGCAGCCATCATGGCAGACTCATCTGTGATGCATTTCCATGTTAAGTAAATTCTTATCTCCAGGTGAATCAATCCTGGTTTCCCCCCAACAATGAATGGAATCACAAGGAACACCAAAACCAAATCTAACTACTAATACTTAAGGAAGGAGTTGTGAGGAGTTGTAACAACTGTGAGTAGTTATTACAAGTCAAATTTATGAGTACTGCAAAAGCAGAACCTGAAATATTTGTTTGAATTCTAGATAATTAGTATGTTGGAACATATCCATGCCCCTTTCCAGCTGCGACAAATGAACATGGAAATGTAGACATATTTTGTACTTCTTTCTCTACCTAATTCCTGCCACTTAGCAAGTAAAGAATTTTCTCAAAGAATACAGATGCCTATAATAAAATAATTTAAAAGTTCTGGTTGCATTTTAGAACACAATCCTGGGAGAACAGGAAATGGCTGAGCCTCAAGGCTACATCACGATTTCCTGCATCACTAACCATCAAAGCAGAAGACTTATGCAATAAGTGCCTACTGGAAAAACCTGACCATAAAATAATGTCTTCCATAAAGTGTTCCTTTGAAGGAAAATTAAACTGAAGCTTTCTTAATAAAGACTCGTAGTGTTGACAGAATACAGTACAGCTCTCCTAAATTACTTGGAAAGGCTTAAATGTCAGTTCATTTGAGATGATTAAAGTTATTTTATGATACAGTAGAAAACTGAGAATTGTCCAGATTCTAGGATTTCATATAAATATAAAACTATCTCAAATGCATTTGCTAAAAAGATGATTTTTGTGTTCTTTCCATTTCCATGGAGGTTAAATTCTTTACAAAAAGTTCTTAGGAGCAATAAGAAAGGGTTCCTGATTGATACAGTGGGATTAACAAACAACATGATATTTTAGGGTGGTGGATGCTATTATTCCACTCACATGCAACACAGGAGAAAAGCAATAGTATCCTGGCCAATTGTAGGGGGAAAAAGAGATACATAATACAATCCTGATTTTTCTTTTGGAATCAAGTCAGACCACAGGCGTGAAGGAAAGAATTGGCAGGGGAAAGGCACACAGATTAAAGTGTAGCATTTGCAAAATTATAGCTTTTAAACCCCAGGTTATCTGTAAAGGGAAGCCTTACATTTTTAGGAATGGGCAAGCAAATTAACCACATGTTGAACATAAATCCTAAAAACAAAAAATAAACACTTGGCCAAAGAATCTGAGGCCTCAGAGGGAGGGATCTCTACATGACTAACTCTTTCAAATCCACAACTACAATGACATTAGGTTTTAATATTCTATCTGTTTTTTCTTGTGGAGGGCTTTTTTGCCCATTGTGATTGTAGTACTATTGGACCAATTCATTCCTTCAGGGAAACCAGTGTAAATCCTGAGTAAGATTGCTGGAGTTAACCAGGAGCTGAACGAATATCACAGCAAGTAAAATTTGGTCGAACTTGCAAACATAAAAGTAAGAATATTACGAGGGAAAATTTACCAGCTCCAGGCTCAGTCTTGCATTCTTTACATATTCCGAACATTGATGAGGTTGAGGACAAGTTTTGGGTGTTCCTGAAAAGCAGGACTGGATAACTGCTTAGTTGTTAAACAGAGGAACAAGTGGTTTTCTCGGAATTGGAACATTTCACGCTGAGTGAAAGAGCTTGCAATCTGTTTCTGATTTCTATAAACTTAGTCAAATAAACTGGGCAGTTAACCTCTGTAACACTGAATTTATATCAGTATTGAAAAAAAATTTAAAAATTCAAAATGCTATATATCACAAAGAAAGGGATTAGTATCAAGTACAAAAGGAGATGAAGTTACATAAATCCTCTACTGGCTTGTGTCCACTTCCTCAGTTAAAACCACTGACTAGGATTTTCAGGACCATTTCTTGTTCTGTGGACACATCATCACTTTCCACCCACTGAAACAGCTGCATTCTACTGGAACAACTGAATTTAAAAAAAATAAAGAAAGAACACAACCCAAAGTTCACTAGATAAGGGACTTTGTCAGTTTTCTTCTTTGGAAGAGTAACACAAAGTGTGACTTCCAGAATGTTACAAAACTGTCTTCTCCTTGAGGAAACTTTCCAATTACAAAAAGAACATTAGGTCTACATAACAGGAATAATATTTGGCCTTTAGGGATTAATCTAGAATGGAGCTTATTATATGGAACGTAGAATTAACGATGTACAAAGTCAGTTTAAAAAACTTACCTCAAAGATATGCTTCACATAACCATATTCTTTGACTAAAGGACACATTATTTCCTTCAGAGTCTGTGCTCAGAATGAGAAGAATCAGAAGTGGGACTTTTTATGCAGTGTCAGTATTCAGTCTTGCTGCAGACTATGATACAAAGCTGTATGGAACCACTGAGCACTGCTGGGCTCTCAGTAAGATTTGTCATCTCTAGCAATGCACCAGAAGGCTGGAGTTGTCTGATAACCAGACACTCCTTGGAACACTGAGAACAGTGCAGATCTGTGGAAGAAAGGCATTGCTAGCATATACTTTAAGATTATCACTACATTCTGGTAACTTCTAGAACAAACTTGATGTAGATGTCCCACAATGTTGCAATGAAAAAATCAAATTTAGTTCTGCAGTCATTACCTGAGAACAGACTTTATCAAGTAAAGATGAAATGCCCTAGAAGATATTTCTGTTTAAGCAGCATCAGCACCATTTCTATGCTTCTCCATCTACCTGTCCATGTACTGTTTGTTTTTCCTCCCAGTCACAAGGTAGCAGAAACCATGGGGGAAGAGAGGGTGGAGAGGAAAGGACCCTTCCAGTTCCACAAAGTGTGATGCTAGGCACT